AAGGTATGTGATTTGTTACAGCAGTTCCCAAACTTTAATGTTCACAGAACCCTTTTCCTACGACCACTTAGGAAAATGACACTTATCACACTATTTAGTTTTATGGTGTTCTAACTATATCGCACGCTGTGGATAAGCATCTACTTTTCGCGTCTGCTGACAAATATGTCAGAGGCATCATTTCTATTTTGATCTATGTAATGTCCGTATTAACAGTAAAATCGATTCTATGGTTAAATTGTTAACATTGATTTTTATACCTAGATCTTAGACATTTATTTTTATCAATTATTTAACTAATTTAAAAATAACATTATTTTTATGTTTTTTTTTCCAGGTTAATATACATATTTGAATAGATAATTCATTGGACATGACTTGGTCCAGAGCGTAAAGTGTTCAAATTTATCAACTTTGAATTTAGCGACTTGGGTTCAATTTTCGATAAATGGATTTTTTTTATTTCGGAAATATATGAAAATTAAGAAATACGACTATTGTTTTTTATTTATTTTAAATTTATTTTATTTATCATGTTACCCCTTCAGTTAGGCAATTTGTTAATCTTTTCGGTATTTTTTTTGTACTGTTTTGATAAATTGTAAGTAGGTAAATAGGTATCATCATAGTTGTTTATCTTATTATTTCTTGTATTTAAAAAAAATTAACTAATGATAAATAATATTGTATTCTAATATTTTTTACAGGCCACGCTCTCGGAATAACCGCCGCTACATTACATGCCAACAGTGGTGCAAATGTAATCCAATTAAAAAGGCTGGGAGGATGGAAATCTAATACTGTGGCAGAAGTTTATGTGGATGGCTCATTGAAAAATAAAATGAAAACTGTCACTATGCTGTCCCGACGTGCCATGTCTTCTCCAGCTATTGCAAGTAGTTCACAAACCTCAGTCATTCAACATGAAATTAATTTGTCGACCAAGAGACAACTGTTGGAGACGCCAACGCTAGTACTGGCCTAAATATTTCGATAAACGCTTACAATAATTAAAATTTAACGATTAATATCAATAAGTAGTTTGTTGTATTTTAGTTCATTGTTGTTTTTTGTTTGCCATTAAGTAGGTATTATAAAATTTGTCAAAAAAATGTGTTATTTTTTAAATATAAAAAATATTCATCTAGAATAGATGAAATGAGGGCGGGAAGTGAGGGAGGGAAGTAGAGGTATGTAATGCGACACTTCCCAACCTTTAATAATGTTAGTAATGACAGCGCTCAATACATATATGGTTGTAAATAAAGTACATTAACGATATGAAAATGTAATAATTTTATTTTAATTTTATTTATTTACGGAACCCCGATTATTCTTCCCAAAGTTGATTCCGCAGGACAAATAAACTGAGCGTACATTCGAGAATTAAATCAAAGGGGGCTGGTTAATATCAAAATACTTAAACAAACTGTCAAACAGTTTCAATTAAACTATGATTTGATAAAAAAATGTAAATATTTCAAGAAAAATATCCATTACCGCTTTCGACAAATTACCTCGTTCAGTAGGTAACATTTTGTCTTAAGCTATATAATGTAATGCTTTGACGGTAGAGTAGCCTTCTTCTTGTTTCCTTAGATTCTCTTTAGTTTAGTAAATGAATTGCCTCGTTTCTTGGTCAATTCTGCAATTCTTTCTCGGCCTTCCTGCTCGTATGGATGGTTAATTAATCCAGCAGCAATCTCTGTACATATGTGTGCTCTTTGAGCTCATTTTCCTCGATTTTATGGAATATGGAGACCAGGTCTTAGACCCCTACTAAAATACATACATAGCATACCGCATTATATAGCAAGATTAAAACTTCGGTTCCATTTTGCTTGTGTCGAAGTAAATAGTACTTGCCATTCGTATGTGAAGGAGAGAAAAGAATGTGATACAGACCATGACTCCACCTGTTAATTGCAATATTGATGAGGTGTCGTTTATTTTCCTGTGTATGCGAACGCTATTTACTATTGACTCTAACACAAACAAAGTAGGATCTTTGACCTTACCAGAACTGTATAGATAGTCTTAGTTGTCCTTTGCATCCCAGTATTGACATTTTTGAGGCGTATAGATAGAATCTAAAAATATTCGTGAAATACCTTGGGGTCGTCATAAACCAGCAGGGGACGTTTGGTAATCACTTGACAAGCAACATTAAAAAAGCACACGCCAAGACTACAGTCGACTCATGTTCAGTATCGGAGGCCCCAATAGCAGAAAGAGAGAAATCGTAGGAGCCACTATTGATTTGAACTTGCTCTATGCTGCTCCAATATGGCAGGGGGTCATAAACATAAAAAAATACCTACTGACAAGCGCCCAACGCACGGCACAGAAGAGACGACTATTCCACAAGCTTCGCAAAGGATGAAGAGAGGGAAACCTCGATAAGGGTAAGATAGAGCGAATGGGAGAGGATAGAGGAAACGGTATAGTGGACGAAGAGATTAATTCCAATAATTATGGAATAGGTCAACAGCCCCTTCCAAAAACGGATTATTACCTGACGCAGGCATTTATTGGTGACGTAAATCATATACCTACCGAATAGTAAAAAACGGCGGATGAATAATGAATATATTGCAGTGAGCCAAAATGTGCCGCTCCCTCTCTATGAGTGTGTAATATAGGTGTCTAACCTGTCAACTAAGGGCGGAAATGGAAGAACAACTGGGAATAACCGGGAACAATGTGACGTGTAAGATCACGGAATGCAAAGAGAAATGGGAAAAAATACTCAGCTGTATGAAAAAATAAGAAAAAAAAAGCGAGATAGATGAATAAGAAGTCCAAGACAACCTGGTATCCAGATGGTAGCAGCACTTCCTGAATGCCGGCGGCGAATAGAGAGTAACACCTGCGCGTAGATTGCAATCAAAATGTTTTCACTTGTCTGATTGGTGAAATTAATTTTGCGTTTGTATACCACTCAGTTACCCACAACAGGAATAATTGCAGATAATTCGATTGTGGATGCGATACAACAATATAAGAATGAAAAGCAAAAATAACACTGAGATCATCCATATTTTCATTAGGATTCCCAATATTGTAATTTATAATAATTGGGAAAAATAATTATATCTAATAGATGTTTGAATGAATTCAGTGAATGAGTGGAACTGGAATAATAAAACAAAATATTATGTAAATCTTCATAATCGTGAATGGTTGAAACATTCAATTATATTTTTAAATTTATCTTACTTCAAACTTTGTTTATCTATATTATAAATAGACGTTCGTATTTAAAACTAATTTAACTTTTGTACAAAACGTGTAATTTTATAATAACTTTAGCATTTGTTTTGTCTAGAGATGTCGATAAAATTATACCCGTAGATAATTTGTTGTATTTGTTTTTACAAAAATATTTCGTACCGTGAAATCTAGCGACTACCTTAGTTTCAACGGTGAGCGTTAAACAATTTTCATTTTATGTATTTTTTATTTTGATTTGAATGCAATGCCAATCCCGGTCGATTTGTAATGATTTTATGAATCACGTGTTTTACGGCACAATATTGTAGAACGGATTTCGTGAAACAATAATGTTTTCAACTAGGTACTTGTTAACAATGCATAATATTATTTTAACAATATTTAAGTCATTGGCGGGATTTGTTTTTATTTTTTGGGGAAATAAGCTCATTATTCCAGAATTTATTCAAACTATATTTTTTTGTTTTTCTAAAGAGCGTGCGTGTACTGGGTAATCAGACGAAGACATATTTGCGACAGTAATTGCGTTCAATATATCAAGCGACCAATTTTCAAAATGAATATCGAGCAAGTAGCAGCTTTCTTATAATTGTTAATCTCATTTAACACAATGTAAGTTACCCTTAAATTTCAAACAAAATACTATCCCAAAAATTTTTCAATACTATTTGTTGGAAAATGATTTTTACTCCCTAGAAGAATTCAATGATCCTTTGTCAAGGCTACACATAGGTGTGTTTTTAAATATATAATGTTAAATATATTGTTAGTTCAAATATTTTTGTACTATTGTATTTTACATTTATTGTTCCGTTTTTTACATTTTATTGAAAATTTTTGACGTACCTACCTTTCAAATGTTTCTTTATCATTTTTTTTTATATTTTACTGTTTTATTACTGTTTTAATATAAATTTCTAACATACCTTATAATAGCTTGTATGGAAAAAATGTCATTAAATTACTTTTTCTACGCCCATGTCAGTAAACGTTAAAAATCGCACTGTCAACATTCCTTGTAAATGACATTTAACAATAACATGCACGTAATGAGATCTCATAACATGTGCGTTTTGATAAGAAAACTTAAATTTCTTAGTTTAATCAAATTGCATTCAAATTTTTATCTACGTAAGACTTTATTTGGTTTATTTACATAAATTTAGTCAATTTAAAAACATAAAAACTTTTAGCATTAGCGAGATACATTTTGGATTAAAAAAGTGATGTCCCTAAATGTGGGCAACACATTATACAATTTCAAAAAACTAAGTCACGTTTTCTTAGCATGCTATGGAAATAAACGTCGTTTCGTTTATTGTCAATTTTTGTAACAAAATATTATTGTATTCGAACATTTTCTCAACTTTACCAACGAATATGTTTGTTACTAGTGAAAGTGATGAAAGTATGAGCACTCCACCGGAGATTTTAGAAAAATCTCAAGATGCCACACATAATTTGTTACCGCTAAAATCCAAATAAAGGTACGAAATTACCTATCGAAAATTTATGGATTGGCGACACAAGCATATGTCCTTTATTTTATAGAAGAAAATAAGTGGGCGCACTCGTGAAATTTACGCACTCGCCGCTGCGCGGCTTCGTGCGTAATGGATTACTTACAACTCTTGTTATGTAATATACTATTACAATTATAGTTAGTAGGTATTTTCTAACTAAACGATTAATAGTAACTCTGATACTTATATGATTGTGAAAACATGTAAGACTATAATTTTTATTAAAAATAAATGAAAACTTACCTCGTAAGTGGATCTACGACTAAGGCAATGAGTATGACGGCACATGCTATGCAAGCTAGATATATCGTGGAGATTTCATAAATTTCTTTGTCGTCCGGCCTTTCTAAGTTATCGTTGTTGTTAATAGTCATAACACAGAAGTTTGCGCCGCATACGTCGTAGTCTACGGTTGTATTGCCGCTATGACTGCCACCCCCTCCGTGAGGATTGCTCAAAACTGCAAAAGAAAAGTAATTTAGGAAATGTGTTATCGTAAATTTGAGTTTTTTAACTGTTTTAATGTCAACATTGAGTTAAAAAATAATCAAATCTTTAAAAACCAAGTCGTTATTGGGTGAAGTTTCTTGACAACAAAAATATTGTATTGAAAAAGTGGTAGATATTTACCAGGTCTGATACTATATCTAAGGGGTTGCGACATAGCCTTTCATCTTCGATTCCATTTTTCACGAAATAGTAGGCTCCAAGTTTGGCAATTTAAGCGAAATGTATTCGCGGTTTTTTAAAATAATATTTTCATGGTGTTCGACATAAAACGCGCCGTTGTTCTTAGGGCTTTCAATTCGCGATTCACTTCATTTTTAGGAGAAAATAATTAAATTTAATCCATTACTTATAATCTTACATATAGAATACGTCGTGAGAAATAAATCACTTTGAACTTTATGCTATTTTGGTTTGGTTTATTTCAAAATGCAAGCTGCAAGAATCTACTCATTTTTGTCTAACACTCCCAATTGGAAATCTTTGGAAACCTACGTCCTTGCAATAAATACGACTGGAATTGCCACAATTATTTGGCAAGCACTTTTGGCCCATCATTTTACGAGTATATTTAGTCCAATGTTCATTTCACTTTTATTCCCAAAAAGTAGATGTCTGTTTGTATAATATTATTTCAGGACAAACGATAATTGTGGTGTTCAGTAAACGAACATCAGAAAAGTGTTGCCACGCTGGTGAAATAAATAGTTACCTTAAATTTAATAATGAAATATTTTAGAATATTTATAACGTGTATCATCAAATAGCAGCATTTAAAAACTTTATTGAGTTTAAACAGTTATGGCATTGGAGATTTTAATAAAAAAATTATTATTCTTTGATTTCAGATACCCGGCTTGATTTCTCCACTGCATCAGTTGGGTGGAAAACTTTATAATAAGGAAGGTGGCCTCAAACTGAGACATTTTGTAGTAATAGACTAGGTTAGGTAGGAATATGAACACTTAATATATTTAAGTAATATTTGGGGCTTTGTTACATCTTATCTGTAAATTACAATAACTTTATAATAGAGTTAATAATTCACGAACTGTTATTTAACTACTAATATTTAAAAATAACGGTATACCATTCACAAAATATTTCAGGAAGAGCAAGTCTTATAGGTAAGGTCAAAACGCTGCAAGCTATAGCCAAAAGTATATGCCCATGTGTTTATTAAAGGGAATTAGTTTTCGAGTGATTACTCAAGCTGAGATTGGAGGAAGAACTCGATAGAGAATCAGTTTGGTTCTAGACCAGGAAAATCCACACTCCATGCATGCAGAGATAAGAAAGAAAGTGACAGAAGGCCGCTACATGTGGATAGCATTTATAACGCTAGGCATAAGGAATGCATTTAATACAGCTTCATGGGACCTTATCATAGAAGAACTTAGGAATATGTACCCATCTACGAAACATACTGCAAGACATAAATAACAATAGATAAGAAAACGATAAAGGTCTCTACTGGGACCAACCCTACGCAATATCTTGTACGACGCCGACGGGGCATTACGAACCAACCTAGGAGAATGAACGAAAAGCGTAGGCTTTGCAGACGACCTAGCCAGAGGCAGCTGGAAATTAGGGTAAAACTAGCGCTGAGGCGCATCACTAGCTGACTAACAAGCCTCAAGCTAGAACTAGCCCCAGAAAAGACAGAGGTTATATATTTTAAAGGTCCCTGGAAAAAATCTGACAGGGAAAAGCCGCGATTCTTCTTAAAAGGAATTCAATTGGAGCCTCAAAGAGAGGTGAAGTACCTGGGTTTCTCCTAGACGATATAGGTAGTTTCGGCAAAAACATCGAAATGGCCACAACCAAAGCAGAGACAGGAGCGGTATCTTTCTTCAGGATAATGAGAAATATCGGTGGCTCTTAAAGTAGGAAATGGGAGCTACTGAGCGGAGTGATACTCTATGGATCACCTATATGGGGACAATCAATGAATGAGTGAATAAATGAATGAATGTAGCAACATACCGGAAAATGATAGAGAAGGTCCAACGGAAGATTGTGTTGAGAGTCCAGTAAGGGTAATTCAGGTCATCACAGGTACGATACCGATCCACCTGCAGGTATCCAAAAGATAAAGATTCTACAGAATGGAAAACGGCAGAGAAGCAAATGATATGGAGCGAGAGGTTACCCTACCTAGGTGCAGAACGAATGGCGAAATAACGCAGATAAAGCTGTGGGTAAAAGGCATATTTAGAGATATGGCAAATTGTATAAATGCCAGTATAGGACACGGTTGTTTTATGTCTATACGAAAAATATTGGCAAGAGAGCCACATATGTATGCATGTACTGCGAGGCAATCGATATCCCGGTATACCCGGTATACACGATCTTCCACTGCAATCGCTGAGTGATAGAAATGCAAAGGGAGCGATTTTTCGATTTTTCGATTTTTCGATTTTTCGATTTTTCGATTTTTCGATTTTACGATTTTACGATTTTACGATTTTTCGATTTTTCGATTTATCGATTTATCGATTTTTCGATTTTTCGATTTTTTGATTTTTCGATTTAAAAACCAAAAGCATTTTTATTTATTTTCATTTCGTAACTGGTGACATAATCAACTTTTCGTAATCAGTTGCATAATGTTCTACTTTATACAACTGGTTACATAAAGTAGATCGTTGTGACACTTGCTGCGATTACAAAATATGTCACTTTATTGCCAAAATTGGCAACACTACTTGTTTTATTCGAATGTGTCAAAAAACGTCGTTTTTCGGAGAGAAAACACATTCGAATAAAAAACAATGCATGAAACACGGACGAAAAGTGTTTTTTTCGGATTTCTTCTCGTAGTCGCCCGAACAACTCAACTTTTCTTCCTTGTAACATAAGCTACTATTATGACTTGCAAATAATAACTTCGTTCGCGGTAACAATCCTGAACTGATTCAGAATTACTAATTCATACTTTGAGCGCATGTCCGATTCTATATCAATTCTTAATTTTTACAGCGCGCGCATTCCCTATTATATCTCGGTGTTCCAGGTATAACACAGGCGGTTCAAAACCAATAATAATTTTACTGCGAACGCAGGATAGAACCAATAATTCAGTTCTTTTTATTCCGCAAACGCTTTTTAACTACTGCGAATGCGAAATCGTTACTGTTAGTTATAATTCGGTACAGGATTCTTACCGCGAACGAAGCTAATATTATTTAATAAAAAACTAAAAAATAGTAAAAACCTATTTGTCAAATATTGTTAGAAGTATGGTTAGAATTAACTTACGTCACACTTTTATGGCGTATTTAAAATAATGTCACTTGTTTTGTTAGGTTATCCGGAAAGGTTAACTATAGCACGTGTGGTTGGTTCGCAATTTTTATTTTGTAGTTTGCGGTAAGTATTAATATCCCACGTGTTTTCAATAGTTAAATTTTCAATTAAAAACATATTATTTATTTATATGGTTCTAGGCAAGTTAATAAATTGAAAACAGATGACACAATAGAACTATATAGCAAATAAAACAAGCCGTTGCACTAAAAGAAGTGCCTTATCCAATGAGGTGTTGTATTTTTGTTTTGTGATAAATAGACTTTAAACTGTCGTGTACAGGGTTTTTCATTATATTTTGACCACCACTTATTTTCATTATTCTTGTGAACACGAAAACAGTTCCAAGTAAAAGCTTTGTTGTTTTTCCTTAACTTTTTCGGCCACAGTATAACCCATTACAAGCAATCAGTTGACAACTTTTAATAAACAAACAACTGTTTCACTTGGAAACATAATTTTCATAGCCATCTATGAGTTACGCTTTCATAGTGTAATAAGTCACTAATAATTAAAATATTATATATTTGTAATCAGGAAATGAAAGTTTTCTTAAAATGACAAAAATATATAGGGTGTCCCATTAAAAAAATGAAATTATATTTTGTATATACAATTCTGTCAGTTATTACATTTTTAATCGGTACGGGTAAAACAACAAAGCTTATACTTAAAACTTTTTTTGTATTCGCAATAATAATGAAAATAAGTAGCGGTCAAAATATAATGAAAAACCCTGTACATTATTACTTTCTCGCGATGCTTTAATTAATTTTTGTTAATTCAGTTCTCAACTCTTTTACTTTCAGAATACATGTTTTTTTTATTATTCAATGGACTTATCTAGTAATTAATTAAAATATTTTTACCCCATAATTTTGGATCCAGTCAACACATTTAGATCCAACCGTTAGTACCGACGTGACGGTAGAAATTGTGAGGCACAAATGAGACTGAATAAGTACGCCTTTTTTATCTATTGTTGTACGAGTAATTTTCGACTAATCCGGTCAGGCTCTAATCCGTAAAGTCCCTGTCTGTCTTATTTGGGCCATTTACGGCCCCTTACTTTCCGTTTACCAAAACTGTTTTTGCGGTATTTACCGTTTTAATTAAAGCGATGTTGGTTATTCTTGGTTACTTTCTGTGACGTCATATTTAAGCCATTAATTATAATCGGTAAATACCTGAGTCCAGACGTGGGTTAATAATGACAAGTGACATGCAGTAAGTGTTTTTTGGTAAGGATATAGAACTAACTCAATTAAATTTGGAAGTTACCTTAGCTATTACACTTTTATTTAAGTATACAGACAGGGGCGGTTTCTCCATTGGTTCATTTCTGCAGTGAACATCCCGTTCAATTTCATAAAAACACATTATTTTAATATTACATAAATAACATAAAAATATAAATTTAATATTAATATTTTTATTTTTATACCTGTTAATCTATATTTTTTGGTACATTATTCTCTGGCTGATCGCGTCTCTCTGGCACAACATACCTAAGTATACCGTGTCTGTGGCGCATTATGATGAGTGAGCCTAACACGAGTGACACGATTTGGGGAATACATTTAGCTAAAAAGAGAAGACAACACGCCAACAGATCCTTCAAACTGTCAAAGAACACAT